TCTGCCAACGTCTGACTTTCCACTTGCGTTTCGTACTCCCGGTTATTCCGCCCAGCGCTCTGAAACCGACGAGGCTTTGTGTTGAGTCACCGGCTCAGAGTCGTGCCGCACCTTCCTCTACATTTTACACCGGGGGGGTTTAGTCCAAAGGGTTGGAGCAAATTTTGACCCGGTGTGGAAAAAAGACGATGATTCGTGGCCCGTAGATAAGTGGTTTTATTTTGTGTGATGCAGGGCGGGAAGACACACAACAAAAAACAAAAACAGATTGCTCCCTCAGATGAGTCCTCGCCAGGACAGAAGCTCCCTGATTGGAGCCGCCGCGGCGAGGAGAATTCTGACTTCCACTCGTGCTGCCTCACATGCTGCTTTTGCCTGAAAACCAGTTTGTGCCACGTAACAGCAGCGAGGCGGCCTGACGTGCCTCTTTGTTCCCCCCCCTCCTTCCTCCTCCACTCTCACCGCGCACACACAAAGGCCGCTGATATCACATCGGGCTGTGGACGATGACAGAATGAAGGGAGATCTTCTTTTGATCAGAACTTGTAGATTAACTCGGTCAGCTTACCTGCCTGCTGCGTAACCAGCGATGTGCGGGTGATTAACTCAACTTTGTGTGTTATTGTTGGTGCAGCGAGTCACAAAGACGCCTCGTCTCTTCCCGCTGGGTTTTGATCTTGTAGTTTTATATTGAGAAATTGAACGGCGATGAAAAGGTTGATGAGGGAGGGAGGAATAAAAAAAGGAAGACCGGCAAGGAAGACGATGAGGTGGAGGATGAAGGGGTGATGAGGAGGTTTCAAAGGTGAGAGCGCGTGTGCAGGAAGAGGAGGAAATGAAGGTTGCATGAAGGAGCCGAGGGTGGACATGAGGACGCAACAGAAGGAAACCAAATCAATACTTCATGCAGGAGACGACTGAGACAAAAACAGGGGACACGTTTTACGAGCGAGAGGACATGACGTACAGTTTTGGGGGAGCCGAGAAGAGCGGAGCGCACAAAAGGGACGCGAGGGAGCGGGCGATTTCATAAGAAGACGAGATTACGGAAGAAGACGGGGCTCCATGTGATCACGCACTGGTCCCCCCCCCGCGGGAAAAACCCTGCGCATCTTTTATTCAGCGGGCTGCTCGGCCTGGACGTTTGTTTGTTCTCCCGCAGCGAGGTCACGTCTCCTAATGGGACGGAGCAGCGCGCCGAGTGGGGGGGGTGTCGACCCGCCCCCTCCTCCGCCTTCGGAGAGGAGTTGTCTGGGTGTGTTTGAGGGGGGCCGCGGTGTGGGATGTATAGGAGCCCCCTTATACATATAATATGTATATAAATATATTAATTATACATAAAACGGCCTCTCTAGTGTTCCATCCAATTAAAGTGCTGCATGCTACATGCTACATGCTAAACGTTTACCCAAGGACACCTGGAGACTGGAGGACTAGGGGATTGAACCGCTCATACTCACGAGGGCTTTGAATGGTTTTCAGGGCAGTGGAAAAAAGATTTAGCCTGGAGCTTTTTAGACCAGCTGCAACATTCAAACCGCAAATATAATTATTTTTGTATTCGCGGCGAAACAAACCAACGCGACCGCAACTGATCGGCGAATAGAAACAGAGGCGCGAGTGTGTGATCCGATGCGCCGCGCCTGTGATGAAACCGCGAGATCGCAAGGAGAGAGGAAATGTCTGCGCGTCCTCATCACAGCTCTGTGCTGAACCGCCTCTCTTAACCTCCCGCCCGGCAGCTTCCACTCAGCACGTGAGATGTGACTTGGACTTGGCCTCAGACTGCAGGCGGAGTACCGTCGGCACTGCGCTTCATAATCCCAATCACTTCAATCTGTCAAAGCGAAGACGGCGGAACACACGGAGGACGTTGTACAAATTCCTAGGATCAGTCGCCATTATTGGTAACCATGACCTCTCCTTGAAACGGTAAAGATTTGTTAACCTCCAAAACGAAACTTGGGAAGCCTCCTTCGACACCAGTGTTGTGTTTGTTTCAGTATTGATGAAGCATCTTTTCTGGCGCTTTCCTGCCTCTCAACGCGCTTCCCTGGTGTGACAGATCGTGATCCGAGGGGAATCTGTTCCATGTGTACTGTAGAGCATCACTGGGGCAGTAGCCCTAGTAGCCCTCTCACCTCTGTGCTTGGCGAAACCAAGGAAGCCCAAACGGATGAAGCTCTCACGAATGGCGGGATGCTTAAATAATATTACATACATTTATTTAAAATGCATCAGGATGGCAGTTAGAGAGGATTACATCTGTCCAGATGTGACCCTCATGCTGCGTGTCACAGGCTGTAGGTGCAGTCCACATGAAATCGAATCATTTTTGTTATGTGGTGAGATCATTTCCTTCCTTGAAATTAGGAAAAAAACTCTGACTGCTCCTAGTTTATGGATGTAACAGTTTGCGTGTCGTCTGTGGGAAATTCCATCCGGTGTGGAGGTATACTGGCATGCATGCACGTGTGTACGTATGCACGAACGTATGTACGTACGCATGCACGTAGGTACGCATGTACGTACGCATGCCTCTCAATGGAATTCCCCACTAAACTGGCTGATTATCCCACACACAGATCATTAGAGAGGCTCCTCTGTAGAGGCCCACCGTCAGGTGGAAACCCTGGGGGATGCTATAGCACAGTGCAGCACACACACACACACATAGATATATAGTTTTATAACATCTGATACTCGTTCTGCAGCAGATGGATTTACAATGCAGCATATTGCTGGTGTTTAGCTCAACATTTCTGTTTTCTAAACGACACACACACACACACACACACACACACAGTCCCAATGGGGTTGCCCACTCAGATTGTAGGCAATTAGTAACACTCTGAGAGCTCCAAACTTTCCAACGCGGCGAACGGACTGTATGTAAATGAGTAGAATCGCATCCAGTCCAGCTGTGCCCCGCCGGCTCGCACACATCTGCCTGGGAGGTGTTGCTCCTGGATGTGTGTTATTACAGACCAGCTGCACGCAACGTTTCCTAGAGTCAGGAACATGTTTGTGTGCCCCCCGTCCCCTCCTCGCTTCCCCAAACCCCCCGTATACATGGTTCATTATTAGGAGCCCTGTCACTGTGACGGGTGACAGAAATCCAACTTACGAGGGGGGGGGGCTTTGCATAGCGAGCGCAATCGTCAGCAATCCTCTTTGTGCGTGTAAGTGTGTCTTCTAGTGTGCGTTCGAGTGTTTATTTGATGCCTTTATGCCATCGTTCCCATTTCTTTTGCGTGTGTGTGTGTGTGTGTATTTTCGCACTGTGTAGGTATTTGCCTCCTGTGTGTGTGTGTGTGCACAATAGTTGTCTTGCCTATTAGGCTGCTGACTGAGGTGTACAGCACGGTGCCGTCGGTGGGACGGAGATAAGCCGGGGATTGCTGCGCTGCCGGCCCTTTGCAGGAGCCACAAGCATTTCTGTGTGTGTGTGTGTGTGTGTGTGTGTGTGTGTGTGTGTGTGTGTGTGTGTGGTAGAAGAGGAAGAGGAAGAGAGAGAGAGAGTTGATGGGTACATACAACTGTCTACGTGTTAATGCTTGGGGGTGGGGAGGGAGGGATGACTTGAACTGAACGCTGTTGGTTTGGTCTGTATCTCTGTGCGGGTATATTCTATATATGTGCATTTGTGGTCTGTTCGATTAGATTAATACTACTACATTGAATCGATAGGCTAATTCCTCATCTTATAATAATAATAATTATAATTAATTTAATAAATACAAAATATTTTTCTTATTTAATCCCAAATCATGGCCTCATAAATACTCTTTTTAATCATTGTTGGTCGGCAGACTACTTGAAAGTGGATGTGTGATTTGCTTATTCAAGCCTAGAACGGGTTTTCCTGTTCTTCTTCCGTCACCTTGTTCACCTCCTGGAGCCCAGAGGTAACCTAATAACACAAACATCCCATAATAAAGGCGCCGAAGGCCCCCAAAAATATTCTTACAACAAAAACAAACCTCGTAATGATTTCCAATGAGCTTGTGGAAGAGTGGCTCGTAAAGGGGGAACGGGCTCGCCGTTTTGATGTAATTGAATTTCCTCAGTAAGTTTTACCAAGTGAAGCATTGCCCCCCTCTGGACCCTTTCACCGGAGCACCGAACTCAAGAAAAGGCCAAACAATCTCTGAGCTATAACGTGCGATGAAAGTAATAAAAGTCTCACCACGAAGGCCGATCTATTCGCCTCATATATATATATATATATATATATATATATATGTAACCATATGGATCAATAGTATGGTTACATATGTATAGTATGTAACCATACTATTGATCCTCCCCTACGCTCCCCCCTATTGGAACCTACAATGAGGTGTGTCTGGACCCCCACACGCTCCACGTTCTTTCTGATCCCATTCCAGCCGTGTGCTTCTTAAAAAGTCCTACCTCCCCCGTCCCTCCCTCCTCCAGGCCCGTTTGTCGCGTGTTAGCCGCAGGCGCCGTTAATTGGTGGGGAGAAATACGACCAGTCTCCCGACCCGGGGTCCCGCGATTAGTGGGTGTGTTTCTGCCCCCCCCCCCCCCCCCAAGCGGCGCCCCGGGCTCCCCGGTGGGGTTGGCGAAGGGTGACGGGGGTAAAAACTTTGCTCCAAAAAAAACAAAAATGTGTGTGTGTTTGCCGCTTTTAATACCGCGCACACCAAATCCACAACGCGTGCGCCTGTGGGCGCTGCTCTGTGGGTGTTTTTGTTCGCTTGACTCGTGTCTACTTCAGCGTGTGACTTTCATTATGTAAAATGGGAATTGTTGGCTGGCAGGCGAGGTGTGCATCATATAGATCGGCTGCTCCGCATCAAACAGCGGGAGGTGACACAGCTCGCTACGGAAGACGACACATTGCGCATAATTGGCATAAAATGTTTCTTTCTAATTAGCTGCGACAAGAGCAGTGCAAAGCTGAGCTCTCTCTCCCTCTCTCCCTCTCTCTCCCTCTCTCCCTCTCTCTCCCTCCCTCCCTCTGTCCGCTGCAGCCATGTCCATGTTGCAGCCGAGCGAGGAGCAGGCCGCCGTCCCACAGAACAAGTTCATGGGGGACATCGAGGAGCTGGCTGCCAGCTACGAGCGGAAACTCATAGAGGTGAGATCCCCTCCAGGTGAAGGCCGAAGGAAGGGCCGCCCGGTTCCGTATGCCAGACTTTAAATAATCTCAAACTGGAACGCCGCTAAACCTTTTTTTTTTTAAACTATTTTTTTGCAGCATTTAAAGGAACAGTTCGACATTTTGTAAAACGCTCTTAGAAGACCGATAGCTTAGCTTAGCACAACGACTGTAAACTGAGGGGGAGGGCTAGCGTCAAGCCTGAAGTCTTTGCCCGTTGCCTAGCAACCGCTTGTTAATGACTCCAATCTCACACTGACCCGACTAACATATGTCCGAATGCACATGACTCACATTATAAATATTGTTCCTTTTTAGGTTTTGTTTTGATTTGGACTTAACACAATTTAATATTTTATTAAAATTCCTAGTTTGCAGGTTTATTCATGCTTAAAGCAGCCCTAGCTTCATTTAGCACACAGACTGAAGTGGTATCCGTTTTGTTTCCCTTAAATGTGAAAGATATATTAATTACATTCAGTGTGGCGACTGCATATAGATGATGTTCAGTAACAAACAAAATACACAACACAAAAACGTTGATCATCTTGTTCCACAAATGAAGTTGATTCTTCAGTTTGAAATCCATTCTTTGTTTATCAGGAAGCTTGGAAGGAGAATTAGACAACAAGTTATTTTGGCCTTGTTAGATGCTTGCAGGAGAAAAATCCTCACAAAGGTACTTCATCTAAATTAAACACAAAATGTCACTTTCCACAGCCGCATTGATCTGAAACAGTACCAAGAGCTATTCCCTGAGCAGGTTGCTCTCAAAGACATCGATATCGATGCACGCTAAAGGTCTCTAACCACTGGACGTCAGGCATAGCGTCACCGGCCGCCGCGTCCAGTTTCCTGTTGGTTTGAGGGACGAGGAGACGCTCCCCGTGAGGGGGACACGGTCAAAAGAGAACCGCAGCGCCGTCTGTCTCCTCCAATGGTTACTGGGGTGTGAGAGGCGTCCACATGAATAATTCATCCAGGGTTTTGTATTCCGTTAATAAAAAAGGATTCCGCCTGTGTTTGGCCCAAACTATGTTTTCACTTATTCATGCACATGTATATGTGGTGCATTTTTAACGGTGTTTACTTATTTATTTGTCCATTTGCCTTTGCAGTCGGCCTCAATCGGTGGGGGGTTTCCCAGCAAAGCCCGGCGGGCCGGTGTGGAACACGATCGCTCTTCAGCGCGTCGCCTGGTCCCGCGGCTGCTTTGTCTTAGCGCGTCTCCCTAATCCCCCGACGTGTAACAAGTCGCGCGGCGGCCGCCTGATGTTTTGGCGAGTGACCCAGGGAACGGGAGCAATGTCGTCTCTGTGGACGACATTCAAGGGCCCCCCTTGATTCCCACAGGGAGCTGGCCGGCGTGCGTCCGTGCGCGTCCACCCGGCGGGCCGCCCCGACGTGGGGATCAAGATGTGCGATGTACATGAGCGGCTGTCAGCGATCCTGATTCAGCTGTCTGGCCTCAGCGGCGGAAACAAAATCTGACTCACCGGGTTATTGATTTTTGGAAATGTCACATCGGGTCTTGTTGAATAACTACGGGCCTGCCAGACACAAATAAATATTGGACGGGGCTCAGCTTTCGTTAACGAGGGGAAACACGTCCGCGTTTTGTGACCCAGTTCAGTTTTAATTGAATGATGCTAACGCACGCTATCGATTTAGACTTTGTTTTTATTTGAGGCGAATCTCCAGGCGCCCCGTGCTCTTCTCATCCCATCTGCCAGTGTCTCTGCGCCACGCGTTCGAAACAGAGAAGAAAGTTTAACCTCACGTTGCTAAACAACTGCCCGAGGAGGACAGATGTGGGGTGTTTTGATCCCGTCTCCTCCTGTCCAAACACACGCACCGTAGATGATTGCGTTAACGTGACACAACAACAACCGTGATCCTCGTCTTTCACACGTTTATTTATTCCCACCCGTTTTCCTTCACTGTTTTTTTTCTTTTTCTTTCTTCATCTTCGCTCAGTCTCAGCTAAAGATCGTAGCTCGATGTACCGCAGTGACTCGAGCGTTTATTTTTACCCTCTGATGACTCCACAACCATTTCTTCTCCTCCTGCCCGCCTTCTTTCCTCCTCCTTCGTGCCCGTCACTTCTTCACCTCGCAGCTGCAACGGTGCGAAAGCTAAATGCGAAGCGCTACCAGATGTCCAGAGTCCTGTCCGGAGGAGTGGGATTGCTCACACCAATCGGGACGGATGTGGGATCGAAGTATGTTTTTTATTATTATTTTTTTAAAAGCTGTCAGAGTGGGAGGACACTTTAACACGTCCCAATAGGGCCGCGCTGTTCTGAACCGACAGGAAACACGATGGAAGCAGCTGAAGCATTTTCAGCTTCGCTGCGTGGCGTTGTGCCCGTCTGCTAACGCGTCCACCGAGGTTCTTTGAGGAACACCGAACCAGTAGTGAGGGAAAGTTGGGCATGAACTCGTCCTCTTAGCAGGACAGACGCTCCTCCCTGGACTCGTTGGACTGAGAAGCATTCATTCAGCTTCATGAAGAAGAAAAAACGACCAATATTTAACTACATGTTCAGCTTCGATTTAGCAGATCGTTCAGTTGGCCGCTGAATTAAGAATTGAAAACGCTTTAAAGATGCATGCGAGACGTTTTTTCGGTCGCCGTCGATGGCAATCGAGTGAATAAGGTCCCGTTCAGTGGGAGGCCACCCAGCTAATTAGGGCGCAGATCACACGGATTCGCTCGATGGGAAAATATTACTGTGCAAACTAACATTATGTAATTCGTCCATTCGGCCTGTGAACCAAAATGTGATACGATGCCTAAATGTGTGAGCCATAACACAGGCTGGAGGACATTTATGTTATTTGGACTTGAGTTTTACAAACCGAGGGCTCGTTACATCACACTGTGCCGCTGTAAAGTGACTCCTCTGTAGCCCAAAGGCTGCAGCACCCGAGCCCAAATAGCTAAGCAGACGTCTGGCTGGCGCCCAGTAAACAAACTCCATTAATGTCCAACGACATCGGGAGTCTTGTGACTCTGCAGTTATAATTATAGCAGGTCTTTTTTTTGTGTGTTCTGGGTTCCCGCGGTGTTTTTATTCATAGATATCTGCTGCGTCGTATCGATAAGAGGAGGATGGAGAAGAGATACGGGTCGGAACCTCTATGGGGATCAGGGATTCTCCCTTTGATCCACCAGCTCATTAATGAACCATAAACAGCATCAAGAACAAGAACAACAATTACCAGGCAGCGACTCAGAGTCTCTCTGAATCTCCTCGAAGAAGAAGAAGAGACAGTGAATAGACGGGAGGATATGATCAGAAATGCCTGTTGTGTTTGAGACGTAATGCAAGTGAACGTGTCCCTTTCAAAAGACAAAACGCTGCATAATGCATGCGATTCTTCTCGGAATAATAAAGGTGAGTCTCCTTTTAAAGCCGTGCTCTGTGCACAAAATCTGTTCATGAGCTCACTAAATTGTCCTTTATTTAAATGATTGCAGGTGTGTACGCACGTAGCCATGTTCACAACGGTAACACCAGAAAGAAGCGTAATGCAATGGCGTTTTTTAACTTAAAATTTGTGGCGATTTAATTGTGCGTATGAATTATTAAAGACCCACAGTGCAGTAAAGTCATCTCACCACTATTAAAACGTAAGGTCCCTCTGCCTTGTAGCTTGGAGGATTTGCATGTATGTTTAAGCTCCTCTGAAGTCATGCATGTGGAGTGCAGCTCATATTTCCGCTTGCAGTGAGATTAGACCCAAATAAAAGGCCTTTTCTGGCCCACGGCTCTTAATTCTGTCACCTGCAATGGCAACTTTTGCAAGTCGTTTTTGTCGTCTGTGGCTAATCAAGCGCACTCGTTTGTCTACATCTATACTGCAAACATGGAGGCTAAAGCTGTGAGCATTAAACAAACTATATGGTTCGTGCATTGATGGCAGCACGCTCGCCGTGGACGTGCTACTTCAGGTTAGCCTGGGATGCTACAACGTCACAGCAGAGAAACACACGGCATGCTTGCTCTCTGGCTGTGGCAAAGCAAAGTGGATCATTATACTCGCAAAGCTCTGTCGGTGTATATTTAAATGCAGGCCCTCGATAGTGGAAGTGACTGCTTCAGGAAAGCAAACCTAATCTCAATACGTCTGAATTCTTGTGTCACCCGCACCGGGAGAGCATGCTTGGAGAGGAGGCTCCAGCTCGCTCACTGTTCATCCGGTTGTGATGAAAACACCGGCGAATTAAAGCTGACAGACTGTACTTTAACATTGTCATCGCCGCGCCGCTTCAAAGTCAAAACACTGCACAACCCCAAAATGTGTGATCCGAGTGCACATGGAGTTCGCTGTGTGATTCGGGAGTAGCCAAGAGTCTGTACCACAAGCCACATTTTGCCTTTTTTTTTCTTCACATAACCCATTTTTGTCTTCTCCACTGGTCCATCTGGCCGCTCTTGTGCGCTCACACTTAACTCATCTTTCTTTGTATCGTTCTTGTTCTCCACCTCAGTTCATAGTGGAGAGCACAGCTTGTGATGTCTATATTGGTCCTTTCTCACCCTCTTTTTCCTCCTCTTTCTTCGCCCCGTCTCTCAGCCTCGTCTCTTATTGGAGCAGCTGTGCTGAAGTGAGTCAGAAACCCAGATAGAGACACGAGCTGCATTTACATTTACAACCCAGTTTCGTCCGTTTTCTGGTTGAGGTCTCACTCGGTTTAAGAGGTTGTTGATGTTTAAATGAACCAGGTCTCCCTTCTGCCCTGAAAACAAACCGGAAAGAGGATCGTTTCCTATGCAACATCACAGCGCACAATAAGCTATTCTGCAGATGTGAACTTGTAATTCTTTAGATAAATGCTTGATGTTCAGTAGGAAGTATTACATGAAATATCTTCAAATATAATATTGATACAGGAACTAGATTAGTATTTAGAGAAGCATGTGAGAACAGAGTCATGGAATGATTTATTCATATATAAAAGAGTAATGAGAAAGACATCAAAATAATGATTTAATGATTGTTTGAAGGAGTATTTCTTTTTAATCTCACCACGAGCAGTAGACAGAGAGAATCGATTGACGCGCTTATCGTAAACACTGATGCGCCGTAGTAGATTAACAATATAAACGCATGCAGGATGCACAATGTGCAGCCAGGGCTTTCTGCGCCTTTTTTAATCAGCTCGGCTCTGACGGAGATGGATGAAGGAGGGCGTTGGGTTTTCTGAGGGTGTGAAATTGGGTGTTTATGTGAGCGAGCGTGCGGTCGGCGTCGCCCTGGTAGCAGTTAGCTGTGATGACTCCAGCAGGGCCGAGCGGTTGCATCACACCAACCCGACCTGCACGACCGGATTGTTTCCCACGGCTCCGCTGTGCCCCCCCCCCTCCCCCCCCCCACCGTTTCTCAGTCACATCATAACATGAACATTTAACATTTTGACTCAGCAGTGTAGCTGTGTTGTTATTTTTGCGTCCTGTGAGTTGTTGGATTGGTCCCCAAGGGACTGTTTAGTCTACCTGCTGCAACCAATGGAAACTGGGCCTGGTATTTCCTCTTTAAGATGCATGATTTTAAATGATGACAATTTCTTCTTTGAAGGGAACAACCGGCGTAGACGTTGGCGTTTACTGTGGGCTGTACGAATGTCGTACATCTGTCATTAATAACCACGGCGGGGGCGGATCACCGCATTAGATCTCCTTTCACCGTAGTTATTTTCACAGAAAGTGATATTTGTTCCATTGAAAACGTAATTTGCAAAGAGACCCTGAGGCCATTAAAAAAACATTGTCAAGTTTTAAGTTTTTAATTAAAAATATATACCAATGGGAAGTATAGGTTTCCTTGCACAATCCTTTTTGATCTCGTACCCAATCTTTGCTCTAGATCCAATGAAAATGTAGGTCACCGTTAAGTTGATTGCAGCAAAATAACCAATTCATCTGAGGCTAAATAAAGGTTCCCGGTACTTTGGTTGCACGTCTCTACGTTTCTTGTCACCTTACCGCAGCTTAAAGCAGGCAGCCTCGTGCATGCGTGTGGCCTGCATGCATCTGAAATGACGAACACACTGATCAAATCATTGTCCCGTAGCACTAGTAATGACATTTTACAATATACTTACTACGGTATATTCAGAGAAGTTGCCATGGTAACCCATGACAAGAACATGGTACTTCCTTCCCATTTTAACTTTAAGATGCTGCTGCCTTGTTGAGCTGTCAGCTTGATTGTGATGTTTCCTTGTCCTTTTTTTTTTTTTTTCTTCTTCTGGTTGTCGCGAAAAGCGTTCCAACCTGAAACTCCACTGGCTTGGAGGATGTTGTGAGCCGGTCCGTCACCTTCAAAAGAAACACCTTTTTGCTCAGGCTGCGAGTGTGTCAGTGACACATCCTACGATCGCTCTGCATGCAATAAATTCCACCTCCTTAGCCGCTGCTTTCATTCGTCTCGCTGTTTCCGGTCTTTGCCGTTTGCGTCGTTCTGTGCGGTTCAACTAAACTCTGAACCTGACCGATTCAGCTGAAGTCTCCGGAGCTGCCGTGGTCCGCAGCCCTTTGCGTGTATGCTTTGTCATGTCCGTGCGCCTATTAGCCCGCGTCCTGCAGACAGTTATCGGATGACGCGGGGCCGAAAAGCCAGCCGATACCGTTGCATGTTGAGGTGCAGGCACGACCCCCCCCCCCCTTCCGTTAAGAAGGTGAACTTGATTAAACGCATCGGCCACGCTGGCGCGCACACAGCCCCCGGTTGGTGTGTAGAAATTAGCACGCACGCACTCCCTCTACACTACTGTACTTTCAGGCGCGCACACACACACACACACACTCGTATGACTCTTTATGACTGATTAACGCTCCCTCCCTGAGAATTAATTGGGTTTCTTCACGCTTCAAATTCATTTTGTATTCTATAATGTCCTATTTAAGAGTTGTGGGGGCCAAATCGTAAGAGGTGATGAATGACGTTGGGCGTTTCGGAGAGGGGGGGGGGGGGATGACAGGATGCGACACGTGCCTGTTAGACCACAAACACACACTCCACTGTGTGCGACCGCAAACGCGACGGCAAGATATTTATCTATTAGGTTTTTATGTGCTTATATTACCGTCCGCTGTGTTTTATCGCTGGGCGGCCTTGAGTGATCCTGTTGTTAAGACTCAGCAGTTTGATCAAATGTGACTCCCGTGGTCTCAGTTTGCATCACTCACGAGGTTGATGCTCACTCCTCAAAGTGAAATACCTCCGTTGTTTTGCAGCATTGTGTGAGATGCGTGCAGACCTCTTTTTCTTTTTTCAAAAAGTTTAGCTCTAATTCGCTGAAGGGGATTGAAGTCCTTTCAAAAAGTTCTCGACTTGAAACTAATTTAGTTAATGCTTTGGTGGAATCACAGCCTTTTGAGCTCAGGTTGTGTTTACCTGCCTGAGGATACACACATCATTATTCACCTAATAACGTCTGAACTGCAGTTAATTCAGAGAGACAAAGACAGAGCGAGCGGCATGAAGCACGTTCTCTCTCAGCTTTGCTGCACAGCATTGTCTTGTGAGTTCAATGTAATTGCGTTTTTTGTCTCATGTTTTTAATATTCTTAATATTCCTATTATAATCTAATTAATCTGTCTATAGGACGGCACATTAGGACCACCGCAGGTCAAAGTATATACTTGCACGTAATATTCCAAGAATATATTATAAATTGTTGCAAATTAACTGGAACAAAAGAAATCATTTTGCTACCATAAAGTCAGCAATTTACGAGAAAGAAGGCCGCTCTAATGACAAGTGTTCTTTGTTCAACGCACCACCAGCCTTTAACGCTGCAGCAATGTGTGCTTTTGGCTTTGCCCTCTGGCCCAGTGGGCCGAGCTCTCAGAATGTAGTTTCCACAGGGAGACATATTTGTTATTATTTGGCCAAGAGGCAGTCTGCTCCAGAGGCGGGGACAACACATGTTCTGGAGCCTCGCTCTCTGTATTTTAGAAAATGAGGTTGTCATGGCAACTGGAGGCTTGAAACTATTTCAATAACGCCGGCAAAGACTGAATCCACCGAATTGTTTAAAAGCAATTTGAAACATTGATCAAATGTGTTCTCGTGAAACCTCACAGCAGCTGGCTCAGACCGTGCTTTGGAATAACTGGGGGGGCGAAGGCTCCACGCGCGGAGCGTCTGTCTTACACAACATCAATATGCCAGCGTATTAAGTCTTGTGAAGTTACCTGTTCGCTTGTGCACTTTATTTTTTATCTTATATTCCTCTAGTTTATATTCTATATTATACTGTACATCTAAATTGTAAATTGAACAAAGCTTACTATTTATTTGTGTACATGTGAATGTGTGCGTGTGAAACCTTTTAAATTGTCCCAAGATTTTGGGTGTAAAACTGAAAGCCACTTTGCCACAACGCCGTTTAGTTTATCATGATCACCATGGCTGTTGCTGTTGCACCAGGAGCCTCTGCGGCGGCGGGTGGGCTCCTAAATGGGCCCCTGAATAGGATGGCGAAGCGGTGGGGGGCCGGCGGTGGGGGCCGGCGCGCCTCGGCTCACCTGTCAGCCGGAGACGGCGCTCTGCCCAAACGGATGTGACAGCAGGTGTCCTCCATACAGCACAGCTGTCAGTCACCTGACCGAGACCTGTCCACACTGTCTGGCATGGTTAGGTAGAGAGGCCGCGCGCACACGCACACACACACACACACACACACACACACTCATATGTCCACATACACACGGATGTGAATAACACAACGACAAGGTTAGTTTGAGCTGATGAGAATTGATCAGGAGTCCGACTGCTTACAATATGACCTCCCCCCCCCCCCCCCCCCCTTACCTCTCTGTCAGGTTTTTGACCGTTTCCCAGAATCTGCCCCTCCGCCAGCATACATTACGGTACATCATTACATCACCGGGAGTGGTTCAGTCCAAAATTGTATATTTGGATGGTTCAAGCTATATATATATATATATATTCCTGTTGCCCATTTTTACTTTATATATATATATATATATATATAAATATAATATGTATGTATGTATATGTATAACGTTCTACAGCATGATTAATTTAAGTGCCTTGGTGTGTATTTTGTGCCCGTGTGTTTGTGCTGCAGGTGGCCGAGATGCACGGTGAGTTGATTGAGTTTAATGAGCGCCTGTACCGCTCCCTCATGGCCAAAGACCACCTCATTGTCCAGATGAGACAGGAACTCATTGACCTGAGAGGCCCGGTGAGTCACTGCACGCACACACACACACACACACACACTCTGCGATGCCTCCCCCCGTGCGTCCACTCTCCTCCCTGTGATTTTGTTTGATTTTCATCTCCCGGTTTGTTTTTTCCGTGTTGCTCTTCTCACTTTTCTCTGCGGTCAATGACTGCCAATAACAATCAACTGCATTTTCACTGGACATCCGTGGGATGTTTGTGTTACTTCTGCCCTCGAGAAGAACTGTCTATCAAACAGTTCACACCTTTCTACCTCTTATGTTGGATGCTCTGTAGGAGTGACTTGTTAGAAGTTACTTACTTTCAAAGTGGTCCTGACCTCTACAATAACAACAAGCACAGATTGGACGCCGGCATCAGGCCGTGGCCAGGAGAGCTTTAGCAATGTGGACACACACACACACACACGGCTAACTATTCTAGCTGTTTATTCATGACTTTTATAAAACAGGTTCAGCTTATACAAATTAATTAGCTCGTCTATGATCCCGTTTTTATCCCCATATAACTGCAGAAGTACCGCGAGGGTCTAAAGAACCTCTTATGGAATCTATTACGTATCAGACGCCTGCGTGTTTATTGCGGTGTGGGTTCTCTCCCCCCCCCCACTTCTCATCAAGCTGCCCCTCTTTTCTTTTCCAGGTTCCAGGTGATTTAAGCCAGACGTCAGAGGACCCCAGCCTGTCAGATTTTGAGACGTAAGAATATTTCTCTGCTCCATTACTCGCTCGCCCTCACTTTGTCCTCCTCCGACCTTCCCTCTTTTCATTCCTTACGTTTTTTCACCCTCGCAGTTCATCTTGTTTTGTGTCTTACAAACAACGCTTCATCCATCTGCAATATAAGTTATTCCTCCTCGCGTTTACCTGAGAACAAATATTGAGCCCTGCTTGATTTTATATACGCATTCGTTTCTTTTACTCTCCGATCAGAATGATATTTTGAGCGAGCTGTAATCTGCTGCAGCTGTCCAAGCATAAGACGAACACCGAGCACAGAGACAAACCTTTTTGCCGTCTCAGTGATAATGATGCTTAAGACGATCATGACGGCGGCAGTAAGGACTGTTTGTGTGTGTCTCTCAGGGCTCATCGCGCTCTCATCAACGTGTGGATCCCCTCCGTGTTCCTGCAGGGCAGAGCTTCCAACGCCTACCACGTCTACCAGGTACACCCCATGTCTCGCCTCTTCCTTCTCTTTCCAAGCGCAGCATCACATGAGGGCACGTGGCTTCTGCTCGCTGTTGGTTTATGTAGGAAACAACTTCACCGGACATGGAACCCCTTGAAAACAAAGACATTGAAGCAACGAAATGCTTTTATCTATCAATTAGTTTGAGTTCAACCAAACAAACCAAGGAGGGATGAAGTGACAGGTTCATAAAGCCAATGAGGGAACAAATGAGCAAGCATGGAGATAATTAAGCCTTAAAGTTTGCATTAATAGCCCATCGCGAGTGTTGATTAGCATCATTGCGCTCGGTTGTCAAGAAGTCCAACGGGACACTTCACTGGACATACAAGGGACTTTTTGCCTGATTCCTCCTTCGATTAATCGCTAAAACCGTAACCAATCTCACTCCTCACACCACAACTATTCCAACAAAGGCCAAGACTACCAACCAATCGGAGGCAGAGTAGGACACGTGATCCCAAAGTTTGATTTTGTATCAAGCGATCGGCTTGTCAGTCAGATTGGTTGTGATAACAACGAACGAAACACACTGTGTTATTGATTGGTACCTCAACAAAACTTTTTTTTACATCCAATCCACAAATATTGATTCCACTTCCCGCTACGGTCTTTTCCCCTCTGTTATCAACTCTCATCACCACTTGATGTATTCACAGTGATTATAGCCGAGCTCCAGTTGCACCGAGCGCTTATCTCACTCCGGTGTGTTGGGAACTGAACTCAAGAGCAGCCTTAACAAATCAAACTGCCGCTTCTAGTTTTATCGAGCAGAGTGGAGACCGGCGGCTCGCTCCCTCGGTGACTGTTTTTACTGTTTCTGTCACATTAACAAGGTCTTATTCTCCGGCTCCCTCGCCGCAGCCGTCCACCAGTCCCCCCCTGTGAGACACGAACACACACATTCGGTTGCATTGGTTTGTTTGTGAGACGCACACACACACACACACACACACACACACACACACAGGGAGACTGTGCACGCTGAAGTACTAATGTAACATTAACTGAGTGGAATACACAAAGGCACAAGGAAACACACACATACAAGCCCACACATACCTGCTCAGAGGTACTTTGATACAAATGCAGGTTAGACATTTTCACACACACACACAGTTAAACGCTGCAGCACTTGACCGAACAAAGCGCACACACACAGCCAGGACGGACGGCTGTCACGTTACTCAGGGGAAACCATACAGGTGACCCGACACCGTGGAGGTAAATCCACCACTCCGGCCTCCAGCTGAGCGTCGCCCGGCGCCTTTTTGTGTGGAATTATCTCCGTCACTCGGACAGGACGGGGCCGCAACAATGACAAATGAGGCGCATTGTTTTCCTCCCCGTCGCTCCTGTCGTTTCGTTCAAGCGCTCACGCTGATGAATATATCTGCGCATTTCTCAACACGTGTGATGAAAGCAATTTGAAATAGTTCTGCTGTCGGCGGTGGTGAAATGCTTGTGCGGAAGGCAGCTCACGTCGTGATATTACGCCACTGGGTTTGGACTTGTTCCCTGCAATTTCAGGAGTTCATTCATGCAGTGGGAGGAAATGCATTGTAATGGCGCTGTCATGGAAGCACAGTTTTAGATTATTCATTGCAGAGTGATGTGGCCTCTTGTGTATTACCTTTTGAGTAATAGAGCTAGGCATCTGATTTCCTTCAAAACAAACTCCTGTCGAGATGCAAAAAAGCTTCGCCTGCTGTGTGATGAATATTTTGAATATGTTCCATGAGTTGTGCCTCTTTTTCCTGACTCAAATAAAGATGGAAGCCAGAAATTGGATGTCTTGAGGTGAACAAAACATGAATAAAATGATATATATATATATTCTATATATGCTATATATATGCAGGGACATACACTGAGGGAAACTTTTTAAATGGTTAAAACTGGAATAAAAATTCTGGTTCTAACTTGTTCTGTGATTAATAGTATGCTTTTGTACGTCAAGCTGATGTTGGCTCCATCTCCAATACGGCGATAAAGAAAATGAAATAAAATAAAAACACCAATATCTCCATGAGGGTTGATAAACAATGTTTTGCCGGAGGAAATCCGCTATGATAACGGTTTGGTTCGCGGTAGGAACATATGGAGTGAGCTTATATCTACCCCGCTTTGGGCATTAATCAGTGTCCACCTGCAGTCTCTCATTCTTGGACTGCCTCCAACATCAAATCTGAATATTTCCCATGTGTTTCACCGATTTAGCCTAATTTCTCGCTCTCAATAGCGGCCTGTGAGACACGCCGTGCAGCCCTGGAGCTGGTATAAAACGCAGCCCATCTGGTGTATTGGATACTTCACTTCCCAGGGCTATATTCGTCTAATCGCTCCCTATGGAAGCGGCTTTTGTTCTTTGACAGGCTAATGGATGGCCAAGGTCACCGCCGACATTGTTGTTGAGGTGAGGTTGTTATGGTGATTGAACCCAGAGCCACCAGTCTTAAAGACCGCTGTTAAAGCGCATCCTGCGGAGAAGTGAGGGCCCTCTTTAAAGCCTACAAATGTGTTCATAGACATTTTGTCATTCATGCACGTGCACAAACACACACACACACACACACACACACACTTGCATATGCCTGCGAAATTGAACCAATGATCGGAGCAATCAGCCATAGCAGGAGCCAGCGGCTTTAGGGAGGGTCGAGGGGGGGAATGGGTTTTTAGACGACGGAGCCTAAGTTAGGTCACAGCAACCTTGTGGTTGAAAATAAGCGCACGAACGGCTCTGTGCTGCTGCTAAAGTCACCCGCAGAGAGCAAGGAGGGCTGCTCCAAAGCCACGGCTCACGGTGTGACTCGCTTAATGTCTTCGGCTGGCTTTCTTCTCTCCTCCACCCTACGTCATCCCTCCCAACGATTTCCCCCGCCTCCCTCTGGCCAGATTGCGCGGCGTTGTGGCGGCGTCGAGACCGCTTGTAGCCCATTTTCTCTCTCCTTTCGGAGTCACTTTCCTCTTCTGTCTTATCCTTCTGAAATGACGGCCGTCTGAAGCTCAGCAAGGCCTGTGGGACGGATGGCGAGAAACGGCCCCGGATGGCGAGCGAGAGGCTGATGGATTTGCTCCATTATCAGTCGGGTTTTTTGCTCTTTTGTGGCACGCCGTGGCTCCGGGCCTTCATCCCTCTCCCTGTGCCTTTTCTCCCCTTCTGAACTCGTAATGAGAGAATTATTCTGGCCACGGCAAATCAGTGTCTCCCTCCCACACAATGCCAACAATAGCGGCTATCACTAGAGGAGGAAAGAAAGCGTGAGTGCAGGAGTGTCTGTGTTTTCATTATCTGCCTATTTTTGGCTGGCATTGTGCTGCGAAAAGAGCATCAGCCAGAAGCTCACCAGGACATTGGGGGCTGTGGAGTTGTGTCCGCAGTAACGCAATTAGCTTAAACTTGACAGCAGAGAAATGAGCGAGAGCTATATGGATCCAGAGATGGCAGCCTCGGCTGTTGGTTGGATTGCCAGTTCTTCTTCAGTACTTGGGCCTTTTATCCAGGCCCTGGAATATCCCAACGTCTTTAAAGGATGTGTTCCGCTGTCCATCTTCTGGCACCATTAAGTCTTGAAAGCTTTCGGATGGATTGCAGCGACAAAATGATGTAAAAAAAAAAAATGTATTTTGCGTTGCCTCCTCGGATTGGCACGTCCCGCGCACCAGTTGGTTTGTTCCGACCTGGTCGCCGTGAGAGAAGAGCGCGACACCGGGACGAATGCAACCTAAAGTTGCAGCTGGTTCTGGTGGTCTCTGAAGTCCAGCTCATGTTTCACGCTACGCGGCTCCAGGTGTTTGACAGTGCCCCTATACAGAGTTTCGGTTGTGGTTTAAGCCTCTCGTCGTCATCCATCTCTCCAGCTCCTCTTCCAACGCTTTTCTCTCCTTTATTACCCGTCTCGTCAATCAGTCTTCCATTTTTGCCCCTTTTCCCTTTCCCACTCTTTTGCCGATCGCCTCCCAGTCATTGTCCATTCCTAGACAGGCTGAGAAGGTGTGGTTGCTCCCGGTGATGACTTCCATGGGCCAAAGGGGGCATTTCGACGGGAGAGAATGTTGTTCGACGTCACCAATCACAAATTTGTCCTTGGACCACTTTCCGGGTGAGACGAAGACTGGAGAACAAAACGCCACATGTTCCGATCCTCTGCGTGGACTTCCATCCGTCACAATGCCGAGCCATGCAGCGAGCGGCTGCAGAAGTAGCAGCACCTCTGATCCGCGACTCACCGGCTGTTTTACATACGCATCTGACAGATGCATGTGCATATACATCCCGCATGAGCAAATCTCTTTGATCAGCTACAAGCCGAGCGCACGTCATTTCCACACAAAGTCGTCAGCTCACTGTTTTGCTTATGCTAATGAGGCCGGGTATTTGCCGTCGTAACTTCTTCTCCTTCCGTTCCCGTCTCTCTCTCCGTCGTTCACACTTGCGTTATGGACGGCTGAGCTCCATTCAGGAGATTGAGGAGACGTCGGAAGTCCAAGAAAGCCGGCGCACGTTTCACGCTTTCCTCCTCCTACCTCCGCGATCCCTCCGCATGTCCTCTTCTCCAGTCACAGCGCGGTACCTTTTAGCCGTGGCCGTCTGCACACAACGATAGAAGGTCCCAATTAAGAGCAGTTATATAAACCATTTGCCCCCTCTCCCCCCAAAAGCCTTTAATATGCACCATATGAAACCACATAAATCCGCCACTCACTGAATAATTGAGGCCTCTTCCTTGACACTCTTTCAGATGTGTGCACCTCGCCTGCACTGCAAGAAATGCAAGGCGGGAAATGTGTTTGCACCTTTTTAAATTCCATATTAGCCATTAGATATGGCCCCGGGTTAGCCGGGGGAAACTGTGGCTGCCACGGCGTAAATCTTCACTTCCAGACGGGCTCAGTGTGAGTCTCTGTGATTAGAGGCTGCGGCTGAAGGGTGGCGGGTCACTTCAGCAATGCAGATGAGATTATTCATCCAT